TAGTCAGATGCAGGGGCCAAGGTTTGATCCTGGCATTTTAGTACCCCTGGGGTGCACTAAAATGGCTATTGAGGCTGGGTGTGGTGACCTGCGCCTATAATCCCAGCACTTGGGAGGTTGAAAACAGAATCACTGAGTCCAGTCTGTATAGTAAGACCCTGTAAACCCTATACTAAGTACAAAAAAAAAAGAAAAGAAAAGAAAAAAGAAAAAAAAATGTTCTGCCTTCAGTAAATGAACCCAAAAGCCCTGAAGTTGGGTTAGGGGTGTCTTTGCTTTCAGCATTGTTCAGGGACTTGGGCTGGTGGAGGCTGTGCTATCTTTAACACGTGCCTCCATTTAGGGCCTCAGCATTATAAGCAAGAGCTCCTGTATCCATCTAGTGGTTGGGAAAGAGAGCAAGAAAATTGTGTGGGAGGAATTTATGGGCCAAGCCTTCTAGTGATGTGACTTAAGCATTCCATTGGTCAGAACACCTGCCATGCTTAATTAGAGGAGAACAATTGGGAAAAAAAGAAGTGGTGAACAACTAGTTTGACTCTGCTGAAGATGAGAATTATATTAAGCCTAAATAAAGACTTAATATAAATAATAAAGCCTCATCCAGTATGAGGCAGCCTTAAGCCCAGCATTGCACACTCAATCCCAACACCACATCCCTAATCTCAGCATCACATTCCCTAGATCCAGCCTAGATACAGGCAGTGACAATGGAGATTGAACCCAGGGCTTTTCATGTGAACTCCACCACTGAATTGTCTTCCACCCACTTTTGAAGAATCTTACTTATCTTTTGTTTGTCTTGTTTGTTTTTAGAGACAGGTTCTAATTGTGTAGTTCAAGCTGGCCTTCACCCCACTACAGAGCCCAGGTTGGTCTTGAACTCATGGCAGTCCTTCTGCCTCAGCCTCCTAAATGTTGAGGTTACAGGTGTGCACCACCACACCCTGCATGAATTGTCTGTAGTTTACCACTATATTTACCACTCTATATTTTGGTAACCTTAAAATAGTAACAAAGTTTCATGTTCTATGTTCTACTGTGTGAAAGCTATATGATCTACAAGTATTTGAAAAAAGTGGCTGGTAAAACTCTAGTTCAGGAATTTTTTTAGAGTTGGTGCTTGGGTAATCTTTATCTGTCTGTCTGTCTGTCTGTCTGTCTGTCTGTCTGTCTGTCTTTTCTTTACTTTTTTGCGGAACTGGGGAATGAACTCAGACCTTGTGCTTGCCAGGCAAGCACTTACTCTACTGAGCCATCTCCCCGGATGGCTTTACTTTTCAATCTTAATTGATCTCTCAGGCTTTGTCTTTCTTTAGCTAACTTTTGTGCTTTTTGTTGTAAAGAATAGGAAACTACTACTTAAGCCTGTGCTAGTAAATAGAAGTTAGTGTATGTTAACAGACATCTTCCTGGGCTTTAAGTAGTATGCAGCCAATCCTTATGTAAGGGAGGGATCAAGGCAGATCATTTCTCTCACAAGTTTTTGTTTCTCTTGTGTATTATGTACTGTTCTTTTCCTTTGTCAGGCTTCCTTCTGGCTCCCTTTTTCCTACTAGTTTTTTAAAAATAGTTTTTATTTTATAATATTAATTTATTTTTATTATTACTACTACTACTACTACTACTACTACTACTACTGTGTGCTTGCCAGGCAGATGCTTAGGTTGCTGAGCTACATCACTGGCCCATTTCCTACTACTTTTAAAGGGTACCTGAAACTCCATAGTAACTGGTGGTTTAAACAACTATGCTGCTCTCTTACCTCAACTCTGACCCTTTCAGTTTACTAGTTCTCTTTGTTCAGATGTCAATAGTTGAATTGGATCAAATTATTTTTGTTAATTAGGCTACACTGTTTGTAGGTCTCACAAATACCTTGATAGACTCCTTTTGGGCAGCTTTTACCTCCTTGCTTAAATGAATGGTCAGTGGGAGGGAAGCTGGTCTGTGAGGATTACTGAGAAGCAACTTCGGCCATTGACAGATTTTCTGGGAAGAGGGATGATTATAATGTTTAGATAGGCATCAGAATTTTGTCTAGTATGATAATGCTTTATCATTTTCCAAGAAAAGCAAAACATAACATGTTTCCCATTGATTTTATTTGTTTGTTTTTTTGAGACAGAATCTCAGTGTACAGTTTATGTTGGCCTCAAATTTGCTGCATCACCCAGACTAGCCCTGAACTCACAGTGATCCTCCTGCTTTTCAGCCTCCTGAATGCTGGGATTACAGGAGTGTGCCACGCTACCTGGCTTCCCATTGATTTTCCTAGTATTCTCAAATACTTGACCTTAGACTTGTTTATTTATGAGCTTCTGTCCTTTAGACCCCACCTAGAGATTCTATTTCGGTAAATTTAGGTGCAGTCTGGACCTGTAAGAGGTTCCTAGATGTATTGGCAGTGGTGGCATATGCCTGTGATCCCAGCCCTGAGGAGTTTGAGGCAGGAGGATCGTAAGTTTAAGGCCAGCCTAGGCTACATAGTGAGTTCCTGGCCAAGCTAAACTATGTACTAAGATCCTGTCTCAAAAAAACAAAACAAAACAAAACAAAACAAAACATAAGGTCCCTAAATGTGTCAGGTACACAAGAGATCTGGAGTTACAGAAATGGAGTTTCTGTTATCTATTTCATAAACTTTGTTAGGCATTGTCATTTCAGATTTATATGTTTAATTTATTTACTTATTGATATGTTCTCTGAGTGTTTGAATGTTTATGAAATCATTTTTGGAAGAGCTATATAACTTTTCCTTCCTAGTTTCAATAACTGAAAGACATGAATTTAACAGAGCTCTATTGGACTGAGATGTAGTCCATTACCACCTTTTAAAAATTATTATTCTTTCCTCTTTTTTTAACATTCTTTTTAAATTTTCTTGCATTTTTTATTTTTTAAAGATTTATTTATTTGGTACAGGGTCTCAGACTCATACCAATCCTCCTGTCTCAGCCTGCCTAGTACTGGGATAACAGGCATGTACCACCACATCCAGTTTCAGTGGCCAGCATGATGCAGGACCCACATGGCATGTGGTACTAGGGATTGAACCCAGGTCCTTGTGCTTGCCAGGCAGGTGCTTAGAATGACAAGCTATTTCCCCGGCCCGACCACCTTTTTTTAACGTATAATTTTTATGCAGTTGAACTACAACTCCCAGCAGGCAGTACTGCCTGAGACTTTATCTCCTGAGTCCTCAGCGATCGATTATAGTTCTCTGTGATATAGTGTGTTATCTCTTGAAGCCTGTATTCTGTACAAGCATACATGTTGCCTTTTTCCACAAGTTACTTCAAATTAAGTCTTCTGGTGGCAGAAAAAGAGGTTTCAAAGGTGGAGGATGTGTTAACTACTGAGTTCTACTTCTTAGCCTGGTTCTTTTGCCTTATATCTAGTGGAAATTCTACCAGTTATAAGTTACAAATTATAGTTTGAGTTGGAGAGCCTAATTTAATCAACAGCTAGGCAACCATTTCAAATGGAAAGCTTTTTAATGCAAATACTTATACCTACAATATAAAACTAATCCCAGGACATTGGTTTGAAATGTATGCTTACAGTACATATATGTGGACACTATGTAAAACTGTAACACCTTTTTTTTGAGACAGGGTCTCGCTATGCAGTTTAGTCTGGCCTTATGCTCACTTTTTTGTAGCTCCCAGGTTGGTTTTGAACTCACAAAGATCATCCTTTTTCAACCTCCCAAGTGTTGGTATTGTAGGTATGCACCACCATGCCTGGTTCCTGTCTGGTACAGTGTCTCACTATGCAGCTCTGACTCATAGTGATCCTTCTATTTGAGCCTGCCCAGTGCTGGGATTACAGGCCTGCGCCTCCATGCCTGGTTTCAGTGGCTGGTACCTTATGTGGTACTAGGGAACAAACCTGGTCCTTGTGCTTGCCAGACAGGCGCTTATGCCACTGTGCTATCTTCCCAGCTGTAATACTAATCTTGATTTTCACATTTTTTAAAATTGGAAATATTAATATAAATGTTTTTCTTTGAGGTTTTTTTTTTGACTTATTTATAGCTTTTTCATTCCATTGTTTAATTCCAAACATGTTAAAAATATAGATGTGTACTCTTAAAAAACTAAAATCTTCTTGTCTTTCATTCATTTATGGGTAGAGTAAGTTCATGTAAAAGAGCTACACCTCTTCTATAAAGAAGCTTTCATGTCTGAGCCCTTATCAATGAAATATAGATTAGTTGCCTCCCTGAATCAAAGAAATAGGCACACATAGACCTGTTCTTAAATTAGTTTACATGCTTTTTTTTTTTTGCAGTTGAATTTCTAATTATGCAATTATTTTTTCTCTTTTTCTTGACAGTAATCCCGTGGATTTGAGTAATCCAGCCATTATAAGCTCTACTCCCAAATTTCAGGAACAGTTCTTAAATGTGAGCGGAATGCCTCAAGAATTGAATCAGTATCCCTGCCTTAAACATCTGCCTCAAATATTTTTTCGTGCCATGCGTGGAATCAGCTGTCTAGTGGATGCATTTTTAGGTGAATTTTGTGTATACTACTGGGTATTTCAAGAGCCTGCATTTAAATAACTTTTAAGTCTAATTTCAGTTTTTAAAAATTTATTTTTTTTTGTATTTATTTATTTATTTGTGTGTGTGTGTGTGTGTGTGTGTGTGGCCAGCTCAGCCCACCAGGGGGCAGGGCTGGCTGGCATGTGGTACTGGGGATTGAACTGCGGTCCCTGTGCTTTGCTAAGCTTGTTCTAAGTAGGTGCTTTAGACTACTGAGCCATCACCAGCCCTTAAGTCTAATTTTAGGAGAAATTATGAAACTTCAAAGGAAAAGATAAATAGATTTGATGACAACACACTGGGAAAGATTGTTTGCAACAAATATAATAGAGAATTATTTTGTCTTTGTATAAATAGATCAAACAATATGCTATGAAAAAGAATACTAGATACAAGGACAAAGGGTAAAAATAATTTGCAAAAAGTGCTCATCCTTATTATCCAAGAAAATGCAGATTATAATGCACTAGAAACTATTTTCATGTGTGTCATTAGAAAGTAAATTTTAATGATATACATACCTCAGGTTCTAAGGATTAAACCCAGGGAACACTGAGCTGCATTCCCAAACCTTTTACAGATTTATTTTAAGCACTAGGCTGGCCTTGAATTTATAATCTTTCTGCCTTGTTCTCATGATTAACAGAAATTACAGGTGTGTGCCTCTGTGCCCTACATGGATGTTTCTAAAACATTTATAGTTATTTATATATTATGTAACAAGCTTGATAGTTCTGATTACATTTGGTGTCATATAACAACTAAAAGCCCCCATGGGTTAAATAAGAGTTTATTTTCACACATATATGAAGTCAGGTCCAGATAACACAGGGCTATTGTAGTTCTGTTCCCTGAGGGATAAGAAACCCTTCTGTTTGGCGACTCTTCATCCTTTTTCCACTGTTTGCTGGGCTGTGATGGCTGAGTGAGTTCTCACTGTTTTGTCTGGGAGTTGGAAAGAAATGAGAATGTGTATCTCACGGTCCTTTTAAGGAGATTTCTTAGAAAATCTGCCCAGTCATCACCTACTTTTCTGTGGTTATAAAATGGCCACATCTAGTTGGAAGAGAGGCATGAAAATGTTATTTATTTTTATTTTTATTTTTTAAAATTTTATTTATTTACGTGTGTGTGTGTGTGTGTGTGTGTGTGTGTGTGTGTGTGGCCAGCTCAGCCCACCAGGGGGCGGGGCTGGCTGGCATGTGGTGCTGGGGGATCGAACAGCGGTCCCTGTGCTTTGCTAAGCTTGTTCTAAGTAGGTGCTTTAGACCACTGAGCCATCTTACCAGCCCAAAAATGTTATTTATTGTGGGTAACTGTGTCCAGCTAAAATTTGTGTTCTGTCACACAGATAAAAATAATATATGGATATTGGGAGATAAATAGTAGTCTGTTATAGTATATCCCAGTCTTTCAAAAATATTGCTTATGGAAGATTTTCTGGTCAGATAATATTTTTCTTGTGTTTGTTTTTTGTTTTTGGCTATGTTGGGAACTACAGATAAAAATAATATATGGATATTGAAAGATAAATAGTGGTCTGCTATAGTATGTCCTAGTCCTTCAAAAATATTGCTTGTGGAAGATTTTCTGGTCAAATATTATTTTTCTTTGTGTTTGTTTTTTGTTTTTGGCTATGTTGGGAATTAAAATCTAAGGCATTGCACAGTCGATACAAGTGTTCTACCATCACCTACTCCCCTACCCTAATCACATACTTGACTGTGAAGAATAACTTAATTTCTTTTTTTTCTTAAGGTATTTCTAGACCCAGGTCAGACAGTGCTCCCCCAACACCTGTGAATAGATTAAGTATGCCTCAAAGTACTGCAGTCAGTACTACCCCACCACATAACCGGAGGCACCGGGCTGTTACTATGAATAAGGCCACCATGAAGACAAGCACAGTAAGAACTTTTTCTTTTTTTGTGTGTCTTTTTGAGACAGGGCTTCACTGTGCAGTTCGGCTGGCCTTTAACTCACTTTGCAGCTTGAGCCTGGCCTCCAGCTAGGAGCAGTCTTCCTGCCTCAGCTTTCTGAGTGCTGGGATTACTCTCATGTACCACCATGCCTACCCTAGAACTTTCATTACCATATTTAGACTGTATAAAGTTGGCTCTTTAATTTGCTATTCTTTTTAGAAAAGCAGTCCTTCTGTTTTCTCAAGCCTTTCAAAGGTATGGTTGTACTGTTGTGCTCTCTTAATAGGTTAGTACTGTTCATGCCTCAAAAGTCCAGCATCAGAGCTCCTCAACCTCTCCTCTGTCGAGTCCAAATCAGACTAGTTCAGAACCACGGCCACTTCCTGCCCCTCGGAGACCAAAGGTTAACAGCATCTTGAATCTCTTTGGATCATGGTTATTTGATGCAGCATTTGTTCACTGTAAACTTCATAATGGGATAAACAGAGACAGCAGCATGACTGGTAAATATTGCCCAAGAAATATTTTATCATTTTTTTCCTTTTCTTTTTTTTCCCTTTTAAATTTTTCCTACCTGCAAGATTAATATGTATCTTTAAAAGCTTTGTTTCTGACCAAGCAGTATCTCCTGCTTAACCCCTTCCAGCTGAAGTAAAAAAGAACCCTTTCGAAGTTTTCTACCTATCCCTTTAATGTATATTCTAGAAGGTTTGGCCTTTTGTCTGATTTTATTAGATGTACTTCAGGTTGACCACTTTTGTTCAATCAAATTCCTTTCAGTAGGTGATCTGGAAGTTCCCTTCATGTCAGCCAGGGTAATTATATTAAATGATGAATTAAAGATTCTGACTGGAAATGAACCAGAGAGGCATTTTTTTTTATTTTTGACAGCTAGTCAATCATTGGTACACGTGTAAATGAACAGTTGTCTGCTTCACAGTAGACACTCAACCTCTCTGGGTTTAGGATAGAGGACTTTCTTTTGAGGAAACATTTGGAAAATATCATTTATTTTGTAACTTAATAAGACTGGTAGAGAATTAATAACTCAATTCTGATATCTTCATTTAGATTTTATTGTAGAAATGAAACTGTTTACATAATATCTTGTATTTTTTCATCTGACCATTATACTTAGAGATAGTGACATAGGATATAGCTTGGATAAAGGAATAGTACAGAATAATTGAATATTTATGGTATGTTTTGTACAGTTGAATAATAATGACTGGCGTTTTTTGAGTTGCCATTGTTATGTGCCAGGCACTATGATTATGCATTCATGAATGTATTGGTTGTTTGGTAAGAAAGCACTTTTCTGCTGCATTTGGAAGTAGATGGAGATAAAAAAAAATTGTCTGATTTCATTAGTTTTTTGTAGTTCTAGGAAGAATATTAGTTCCAGGGGTAAACTAATGTAATGGCCATAGGATGTGGATTTTCTCTCAGAAGTGCCTTCATAGCTATTATGTATAATGTCAAGATGAAAATCTGTGTCTGTGATTATTATATACATATTTTGGAGGTTCTTATAAATCATTAAGTAATTTAGAAAAGTTACAAATGTAAGGATTTTCAGACATATAATTTAAGATTGTGTGAGTGAGTTTAGGGATTCCTTTGTTTACTCTATTTTGTTGAAATTTATATACTTTATTTTCTACCATTTCCGTGTTATAATTTTATTCACGAATTTGAAAGTAGTATTTATGGTTAAATGTGTTTGCAATGTCTAAATGAAAAGTTTTAAAAACCACTTTTGAGTTGTATTTTTTGTTTATGTACTTTATATTTTGAGTTTTCTGAACCATGTTTATTTTCTAGAATGTGTTAGTAGTTTTTATTTTTTTAAAGGAATAATTCTTACAACGTAGCTTTGGAGTATAGAGCAGTTGACACTGGAATCCCTGAATAGCTTGGCTAGCCTGCTGCTTTGTTGGTGGGCTTGCTGAAAGGGAGGTTAAAGAGCTTTCTATCTCTAGGTATCTCTAGGCAATTTGTAACAGCTTTTCTCACCCTCCTTACATCAGAAGATAGAAAACAAAGTTTAAATCATATATGAGCAACATCTTTTAACTGATCATTTTCCTTGGTGTGATAAGGATAGCAGCACTTCTCCTCCTCACTGTTTTGGAGATGATAAAGGCTGCTACATTACCCAGGAGATAAGAAGTCTCTACAAAGTAGAAGGGGTTATAGAGTACTGTGGCATCCCACTGTTGAGGTCAGGATTTGCGGGGTTGCTGGGTATACTGTTTTCTTAGTACTGGCTGTCATCAAGGAATTCTGTCCCACAGTTCACCTTTAACTTAAAGGTCCCTTGAAATAGTTAGCTTTCAGTTTATGTGATAGTACACTGTGCTTTGTGAAAATAATATTGAGCTGGGAAGGGTTAATGAACTAAAATTTTTAATGCACATTATAGACAGTTCTCAATTCTCTAGCTGTGTAACTTTCTTTGTTCATTGTTTTGCATGATACAGAAATCAATTTTGGACCTGAATGCAGTTTCCTATGTTTTTGAACTAGCTTGTGGTATCGTAAAACTTTAAATTTAACCTTTAAAAAGCTAAAAAGCTTCTTAATTTGTTGTAAAATTTCACCATCTTTAAAGTATTTTATAATTACTGCTGTCCTTTGATTTGTTTCCATTTATTTCTATTATCTTGCAGCATCTTTTATCCAAATTCTTCTTTCTTATAAATCTTGTAAGTAGGAACCAGAAGCTTCTCTTTAATTGCAGTCATGTTTTTATTTTTTCATAATTCATTAAAAATTCTGATTGTCATTGTCTCTTGTAGTTTTTGCACTTGGGAAGAAAAATACTTTTCTGTGTTTTGAATGGGGAAGATTGTTGGCAAAAGCAAATTGATCTGCCTGAATCAGTCCCATTATTTCTTGTATACTAGTCTGGTCATGTCATGAATTCCAGGACTTTGCACTAACTGTGTTTTGGCTTTTTTTTTTTTTTTTTTTTAAGCTTTAAGCTTATTTTTATACAGATTTAGTGTTTGATTTGTATGCATTCTGCATGTAGTGTTTTTCAAATGTATTATTGCTGGATAGTATATTCAGGACTAAAAATGGCTCATGGGAAGTTGCATAAAGATTCTTGACTGCATTCTATTAAACCTTTTATTACAAAACAATTAATCATTTTATATAGAGTGATAAAAGATTTCCAAGTGATTTTCTGATACACTATGAAATCTTTTGTTAAAAATAAAGCAACTTTCGAAGGGCTTCTGTTTCAGTGACAATGGATGACCATGATAATCTTTCTTACCAAACTAATTTTCTGACTTATCAACCTCAAGTTAGCTGCCGTCTGTAGTTGTTAAAATTCATTCTCATTTGCTTGGTTGGGCAATTCTTTGGTGTGTGTTTTGGAGTTGGGTGGGTGCTGGGAATGCTCTCTTTCTCCCTGCCCATTTCTCATCCTGACCTTGCCCTCTCCCTAAAGTATACAAACTGGCATGGGGATGCCCATTTAATGACAGTGTCCATCTGGGTTAATATATAAATTTTAGTAACAATTTTTCGTAATGAATGTTTAAACATCATTCTATAGGGCGAGAAAAAAAAAAACCCAAAAATAAAAGCCAAATTGTACATTATATATCTGTATGTTGAATACAGATATATATAGAAATAATAATCTGATCAAAAATTCAGTTGAAAATACTTCATGTAGAACCTATTAAACTGATAATGCCACTGCAAATTGTTACCCATTTTCAAAGAAGATTTCAGAGAGCCCTTTAAAAAAAAAAAGATGGTTGCTAATGAAAAGCATTATTGGATTCTATTCAAGTAGCTATTTATAATGATACCAATATTTGATCTTTGTGTCCAGGGTCCCATGAGCCTGTGTGGCATATTGATAAATGTAATAAAACCCTCCTTTTCTCTCCCCAGCCATTACAACTCAAGCTAGCATGGAGTTTCGACGGAAAGGGTCACAAATGTCCACAGACACCATGGTTTCCAACCCTATGTTTGATGCAAGTGAATTTCCTGATAACTATGAAGCAGGAAGAGCTGAGGCTTGTGGGACACTGTGTAGGATTTTTTGTAGCAAGAAGACTGGAGAAGAGATACTGCCAGCTTATTTATCCAGGTCTTAGAATTTTTTATTTTCCATGTATAGTTTTGATAGTAAAACACTATTGTAGCATGGCTTGGTAGGCTGAATTGATAAGTAAATGCTGGTTTGAGATACCTATAAATGTCTATGCATGCTTGAATTTTTTTTTTTTTTTTCTTCTTTCTTTCTTTGTGCTACTGGGGATTGAACTCAGGACCCTGCGCTTGCCAGGCAAGCACTTATTCTACTGAACTGTCTCCCCAGCCCTTGAAATTTGTTTGATTTTTTCCATTTTATTTGCCTCATCAAATTTGGTAAAGACCTTTAAGACTTTGAGTTTTATTCTATTCTACTTGAATTTTATTAATTATGGAGAGATTTAGAAGGATCACAGTTACTATTAATACATTTTTAGCACAGTATTAGATACTATGGACAGTTCAGCTATAAATCCTGCCCTGTTGGAGTTAATTTTCTGAAATCACCAAACTCATGTAAACAAGTAACAGCAAGAATAAGTTTCCAGGAGAGAGGCACAGGTAAAAGGTCTATAGGAATTCAGAGGAAGAAACAGTACACACTTATTCAAGAGTGTTTGGGAAAGAGTTATGTAAGGATAGATAATTGTGTTTGGTTTATAAAGAATGGGTAGTATTTTAGAAAGACAGGGTGGGATTGTTTAATCCAAATCTGGATAAGCATCTTTGAATGGCTCTGCCATCTATTCAGCTGCTCAGCCAGAAGCTAGGAGTCATTTGAAATTTCATCCTCTCTATCTTTAGTTGATCAGCTTTTGTCTTCTACTTAACCCTCTTTCTGATTTCTCTTAGACTTTCTCATAGACCTCAGACTTTCTTACTTTTCTCCTAAATGAACTTCTATTGGCCTCCTTTTTTCTTTTTTAATTCTACTTTGCTCTTCTTAGCTCATCATTCACAAAGCTACTAAAGTGAGGTTAATATCAACCAGACCATCATAATAGATACAGGTGTATGTGCTAGATTCTCAGAAGAGATTAAATTGATTTAAGTGAAAGGAAATTTAGAAGTATATGTAGTGAAAAAACATATTCAAGGAACTATTCAAGGATATCTTAATCATGTGCTCTTGGCTTTAAGAAAAACTCTTACAATCACATTAAAGGCAAAAGGAAGAAGTTACAAGAAGCTGGTGAAACTTAACGAAGTCTAAGATCAGGAAGTGCAGCAAGACCTTACAATGAGTAGGATCCAAGGATTGGAAATGTTCAAGTACCAAAACGACTTGCCTCTTTGCTGTTTCTCTGTTTTTGTCTTCCAGAAGTATTTCATTTTTCTCTCTATAGATTACTTTCTTAATGTAATGTGCTTTTAATTTCCTAATTTTTATAACCTTGGCCTAGGTGGCTACAGTAGTCAGTTAGCATCTCTGTAACCTAGTTTCAGATTCTTGGTGAAGAGCATCTGATAAATTACATCTCTCTGGTCTAGTCAGCTTTCACTGTGAGGATGACTCCCTCTATGGAGGGGACTCATGTTTTAGGAAGTAGACTGTATCCTGTAGCAATATTCCAAGTGATATCAACAGCAATAAAGTAGGCTGTGGCTATGAGCTTTCTCTTTGGGCCATAATACTGGGTGGTGGTAGTATGGCAGACTAAAAGAACAGATTTGTGAGAGGGCAAATGAAGGATTTGATTTTGATCTTGTTGAATTATAAAATACTGCACAGTTTTACTGTCATGGAATTTGTTTCAGTAACTCTGCCAGCTTATTGATAAGTACTGCAGTTATTTGTTTTATTTTGTGATTGTTGCCTCATGTGCAGGGACCTATAACTTCGAGTTACAAAGATTAAACTTTAAGAAGGTATGATAGACAAGAATCTTTTTCTTAATTAGGAAAAATGATTTGTTTCTTACTGTATATGACTCTGAACTGTTTGAATTCCAGTAATATCTTTTAAAGGATAAGGATAGTGAAGAGTGAAAAAGACTTTGAGATGACTGTGTAGAAAATATTAATAATTATGAAAACTTTTGATTAGCATTTTATTTAATTTTTTTTTCTTGCTTTCCTAGATTTTACATGCTTTTAATTCAAGGTTTGCAGATAAATGATTATGTGTGCCATCCTGTCTTGGCCAGCGTTATTCTAAACTCCCCTCCTTTGTTCTGCTGTGACTTGAAAGGGATTGATGTTGTGGTTCCTTACTTTATTTCAGCTCTTGAAACCATTTTGCCTGACAGGTAAGTTGTCATTCTGTACTAATGTATCCGTTGTCTGGTTTGGCCTGGTCTGTTTTGGTGCTTCCTTCTGTTTCCTAATGTATCTTGTCCAGTTGTCTTCATGGTCCAAGCAGACTTAGACAATATTTACTGAGTATACAGAATATCCAAAACCATTTTGGGCCTGGGGAGATGGCTCAGTGGAATAAGTGCTTCCCTGGCAAGCGTAAGAGCCTGAGTTCAATCCCTGGTTCAGCAAAAAAAAAAAAAAAAAAAAAAAAAGTTTCAACTCTGGATGCCTTTGGTACTGATGTGTCCGTGGGCTTTTCTGGTTTTTCTAGAGAGGTCAGAACAAACCTAGCCATGAAATCCTACTTGTGGAAAGTATGCTTTTTTTTTTTTGTAGTGTAGGGGATTGAAACAAGAGCTTGCCTGTGTTTGGCAAGCATTTTACCACTGCGCTACCTCCAAGCCTTGCATCTTACTTTTATTTATTTATTTACTTTTGAGACAGGGTCTTATTATAGTCCAGGGTAGAGGAACTTGTGATCCTCCTACCTCAAGGTCCCCAGAGTTGGTATTACAAGGGTGTGTCACCAGAACTGTGTTAGGCCTTGCATTTTAAGTCACAACACAGAAATCCCACTAAATTTTGATACAGTTTAGTAACAGTTTAACATAGATGTTCATACACACATACATATAAAATGTTTACGTTGTGAAAAATTGATGTATATGTTTGGCAGTAGTTAAAAATGTACTTTAGGGGCTGGGGTGATGGCTCAGTGGAATAAGCGCTTCCCTGGCAAGCACAAGAGCCTGAGTTCAATCCCCAGTTCCCAAAAAAAAAAAAAAAAAAAAGAAAAAGTACTTTAGTTAAAAAATACTAATAATCTTTTATTTTTTGGCAGAGAACTCTCAAAATTCAAAAGCTATGTAAATCCAACAGAATTAAGAAGATCCTCCATTAATATCCTACTTTCTTTGTTGCCCCTCCCTCATCATTTTGGCACAGTCAAATCTGAGGTAATATTCTATTAAGGTGTCTTTATATTCTATACTTTGTTCTTGTGTGCTAATTTAAGCCAAACAGTAGGTTTTTAATTTAAAAACCCTCATTTCAGGTGAATTAATGAAGTTCCTTGTTTCAGGTATTTCTTCTGATATACTATCAGCATGCCTTGGACTACTATTTCTCATGGTTGTAGGGTAGTAACATCTAAACACATGTTGAGTGAACTAGTAACAGACTCATCAGTGGCTAGTGTTAGACTGAGAGCCTTGCTTAGTAGATGATCTGCTTTTTGTCTGTTCCCCCATGGGTATCATGCACCATAACAGCTGATGTGAAATATGTGTTTTTTCCCTAGGTGGTCCTGGAAGGAAAGTTTAGTAATGATGACAGCTCTTCTTATGATAAACCAATAACTTTTTTGTCCCTGAAGTTGAGACTTGTGAATATACTAATAGGTGCCTTGCAAACAGAAACGGATCCCAACAACACCCAAATGATACTAGGTTTGTGGTCACAACCTTTTGTAAATGAAAACTCAGATACTGTTGGCCCTTGGCATGCTGAGGAGGCAGAGGTCAGTGATAGAAATTTAAGTCTAACACAGCTTTACTATTCAGGAGCAGAGACAAAATTTATTTGCTTTTTTTTTTTTTTTTTTTTTTTGCGGAACCGGGGATTGAACTCAGGCCCTTGTGCTTACTAGGCAAGCACTTATTCTACTGAGCCATCTCCCCAGCCACTATTTGCTTTTAATGTTAAAAAAATGTAAAGGGCTGAGATGAGGGAAAGAAACTATTTCTGTATTCTTGGTCTCTATTTGTGCTTCTGTTTTTCTTTTTCCCTATGTCTCTTGCTTCCTTTTTCCTTCCCTCTTCCTCTTTTCTCTCCCTTCTTTTCCCCTTCTTCACTATTCTCTCCTCTCTTCCCTCCCTCCTTCCCTCCTCCCCTCTCTCCTCCTGTCCCCCACCTTTCAGACAGGTTCTTACATAGTTTTTTTTTTTTTTTTGCGGAACCGGGGATTGAACTCAGATCCTTGCGTTTGCCAGTCAAGTGCTTATCCTACTGAGCCATCTCCCCGGCCCCTACATAGTTTAGATTGAACTCAAACTCAAAGCAGTCCTCCTGCCTCAGTCTCCTGTGTGTTGGGATTATAGGCATGCACCACTGTGCCTGGCTAGTCACTCTTTGATCTTTCCTTCTTTTTCTTTTCCCTCCTACCCATTAATTATATGGATGTGGTGTAATTATGGAAGCCAGGTGAGTGCCCTGCCAAGAAGAAATAGTGGAGTAATTATTTTGTGGTTCTTCTTTTCTTGTTGTTTCATCTTGCCTTCTTACACTGATTCTCTGTCTTAAATCTGTCTGCATCATTATGGCCAGTTTCAGATTTCAGGTCTTCATCACTTCACCACTTGATTGCTGCACCCATCTTTTATTGTACCTCTGACTTTTCATCAAAACCAAGGGTGTGAGCTTAGGTGCAGGTACTTAAGATACACTAGAGAAATGAGTGGCATGATTCCTACCATGAGAAAGTTTGCAAGAAATCTCATAACAGCAGAAGGTAGTGTTGATTACATGATTTGCTTTTTTTGGTAGTAATTCTATTGGAGCACAGTCATATTGATCTGTTATCTGTGGTTGCTTTTGTTCTCCAACAGGAAAGTTGACTAGTTGTGACAGAGATCAGATCATGCAAAGTCTAAAAGATTTACTTAAAAAAAGTTTACTAACTCCCACTCTACCTCTAGTCCATTTACCATATTTAATTTCATTATCTCTCACTTCTCCTCTTTGATCTTTATCCAGCTTAAATTCCATGTTCCTGGGTTTGGGTATAGCTCAGTGGCACAGGCATCTGCCTGGCAAGTGGAAGGTCCTGAGTTTGATTTCTGGTACCAAAACAAAAAGCCTCATGGTTAAATTCCATGTTTCTGAACACCAACTCTGCTTAACTTAGCTCTCTGTTTATTCCATGTTCAGATCTGAGTGTGGATAAGTCATATTACAGGGCTGGCTACCCTTTCAGACTTGTGACTATAAAATCTCAACTGACAGCTCGGACTAGTACTTGCACTAAATACCCTCATGGAATTACTTTTCTATTTCTCAACTTCACATGTTCAGCCTGTATCTGTCTTCTGCTTAGCTGTTGCTCTTGCTACATATTTCATTAAAAAAAAAAAAGTGCAGGAGATACCCCCAGACACACACCTGGTAGCTTCTTTGACTCAGTCAGGATTTGAATTGTGTTATATTGAGTGCTAGGTACCATCCGTGACTCTGGAGTATAGAAAGGAACAAAATAGAGAAAAATCTTTCTGGTGATGGCAAGGGACAAATAGCACATAAGAGTTTATTCTCCGGGGGGAGAAAATGGATGAGAGAAAGCATATGGGGATGGGTGGATGTGCCGTGGGGTAGTGGGCAGGGCTGTTCAATTTTTAATTTAATTAACAGATCACTCTGAGAAGGTGAGGGAGCCATGCGGATGCCTGGGATTGAGAGTATGCCAGGTAGAAAAGTAGGGGCTAAGTACCTGAAGCTTGTTAAAATGTTCCCCCACTTGGTCTATTCCTCATTGCCTTCTCAAGGTCCTCACTTTTCTTTCCTATCTGATCACTTTCTTCTTCACTAGATTATTTATACTGGCATAGAAATATGTACTTTTATTACTCTGCTGAAATACAACTTTCTGAATGCTTTACCTCCTCTACTTGTTGTACCCATTCTCTTCTACCCTGAAAATAAAAACACTTTGAATTTCTACTCATTTTCTTGTCTCTCGTTTTCTTTTTGGGGCAGCATTTTTGTCCCAACAGTACCACTGAGTGAACTCACATCAGAGTTTCACGTGAAAGATCTCCCACTTGTCAGAACTAATGAAAGTTGTTGTCATCTTCTCACCTGGCCATGCGACATAACACTTGGCTTCATTCACCCTGTCTCCTTACATTTTTCTTGAGGCCTCCATCATACCATACTAGCCTGATTTTAATTTTATCTCACTGGTTTTTCCTCTGTTTCCTTTACTCCCTCTTTCTGTCCTATCAGGTAGATATATTTGGGAACTTTTAAGCTCTGTTCTTATCAGTCCCATGGCTTCAAAGATCATAGATACGTGTGTTCTTCAGCCTAGTTATATTGTCTCAGTTCAGCATGTTACTAGCTAACTGCCTGGTTGATATCTCTACTTTATAGTTTGTCTGTTTCCCACATCTTTGCCCTAAATCAATTGTTCAACAATCTAGTTGCTCATCTTGGTACATGGCTTCCTCATATGTACCAGCTTATTCAAACAAGAACTACAACTCATCTATTTTTAATTCTTTTCTTCCTTAAATGCCCCACAGTTAAGTCCACTCCTAAATTCTGTTGGTACTACTTACAAAATATATCCTGATCAGCCTTACCTGTTTACTCCTAGAACCCTTCTAAACTGTTCATCTTTTAATTCCGTTGTTATCATTGCCTCCTCCCTGGTCTCTCTACTTTCTTTCTTGCTCCTTTAGTTTTTATCCTTTCCACTTGAGCCAGAATCAGTGTTCTAAAGAATATATTTGGTTATGTCATTGGTTGCTCATTACACATAGAATAAAATCCACATCCATTACCCTGATCTACAGAGAACAGACATTCTTTCTTTCCTTTTTTGATATATTTGGCTGGGGTTGGAGTCAGCATTTATTGTCTCACCTGGGTACAGCAGGGAAGGTATGGATGTGGTTTTTATTTTATTTCTAAAAGATCAGAACTTATTTGTATTATCCTTGAAATTGAGATGCTTATATCTGATCTTTCATACCAATTAAAACATCAGGGGGCCTGAGAAGATAGCTCAATAGAGTAAGTGTTTGCCTGGCAAGGGCAGAGTCCTGAGTTCAATTGTTGGTACCACCAGGAAAAAAAAAAAAAAAATCAGGCAGTGAGTACATTTTATAAAGTACAGTTTGGCTTTCCACTTTATTTTAGAAAAATACAGTTCTAAAACTTTAGGAGACAAATTAGAATTGATGAAATTCTGGAGTATCTGTTTGGACCAGCCTGGATTTATTATTAATTTTGAGGAGTTTCAGAAATGTTCATATTGTTCTTTCTTTTTTTTTGAGACAGGGTCTCACTGTGCAGTTCAGGCTGACCTTGTGCTTACTTTGTAGTCCAGGCTGGTTTCAAACTCACAATGATTTTCCTGCCTCAGCCTCCTGAGTCCTGCGATTACAGGCATGCGCCATCACACCCATCCTGCCTTATTCTTATTTCTATTCTTAACCATATGAGCCATTTTAGTGTTCTTACATCTTTTATATGTTTTAATTTTTGCTGTTGCAGGGGCAATGTTAAATATTGTTCAAGATTCTGCACTTTTAGAAGCCATTGGTTGCCAAATGGAGATGGTAAGATTATGACATGTGATCTGTCAGAGAATATCAATTTATGATTTGTCTAAGTTATTTTCCTATCTGTCCTTGAGATTTTTTTTTTTTTTTTGTTCTCGTGATTTTTAAAGACGTTTTAAATCCAGCTCATTCATTCAAAAGCATTTTTTTTTTCCTTTTTTTGAGATAGGGTCTTGCTGTGTAGTTCAAGCTAGCCTTGAACTCACTCTGTAGCCCAGGCTGGCCTCTTATGGCAGTCTTCCTGCCTCAGCCTCCTGAGTGCTAGTATTTCAGTCATGTGCCACCATACGCAGCAGAAGGACTCTTTTTTAAAAATGCCTATTCTGAGATGTTTTTTAATTATCAGTACCTTATTAGGTGTACATCAGATCCCTGAGAGTTTCTGCATTACAATAATTCCAGTTGAGGCCAGTCTTTATTTCTCAACAGTGTCATCGAAGGATGACTATAAGATCAGTGGTCTCTTTCTAGCCCCTTAGAGCAAAGTTTACAGGTCTCTGAAAATACTAATGCTTCTAAGTAGAAAAAGCTTCCCAGAGACGTTCAGTACCCTTTACTTCTATCAACAGATATAAGATCTTTATTCCCAGAGTAGAGGCTGAAGAGTGGGGAAATTAATAGGATATGTTGAGTGGATATAAGATGGGTAATCAAATTATTGACAAGGAAATTACATTCATGTCCAGTAGCTAGCTAATAATAATTTACTCATGTAGATATATTTCCATGGCAAAAGTGAGGGAAATTGTTAGCAGATTTATTACCTCCTTTCATATCAGAATTTATACTAACCATAGTACTTTGCTGTATTTTATAATATAACTACATTTTGAAGTTACTGTTAAAGATTGTATTCCTGTTCTAAAGTTTTGCTTGGGAGTCACACAGGGTGTTTTCTTTTAAGGATCCAGAGTCATTACTAGTAAGGTCTAGTAAAAAACTGAAAAAGATTCTGGGCTGGGCTTTAGTAAACAGTGCCAAAAAGACCCCATTATATACACCTGTAGTTGTCAAACCTTTTATACCCTTCAGCAGACTGTGTCTCTGTGTAAACACCATAGCAATTTTAATCTATTGTTGGTTTGTTATCTGTGTATCATTATGTGCCATTTAGTTGGTACATTCTATTTTATCAATAAAGTTTTTTAAAAAATTTTATTTATTTGTGTGTGTGTGTGTGTGTGTGTGTGTGTGTGTGTGTGGCCAGCTTAGCCCTCCAGGGGGTGGGGCTGGCTGGCATGTGGTGCTGGGGGATTGAACCATGGTCCCTGTGCTTTGTTAAGCTTGTTCTAAGTAGGTGCTTTAGACCACTGAGCCATCTCACCAGCCCTCAATAAAGTTTTTCTTCTTTCTTTTTTTTTTTTTTTTTGTGATACCAAGAATTGAACTCAGGACCCTGTGCTTGCCATGTAGCGCTTATTCTACTGAGCTATTTCCCCAGTACCCAATAAAGTTTTTAATGATTAGTCTCTGTTTATATTTGTAAACTATGACATAGCCCCAGACTACTTGATTTATTTTCATTTGACCAGGGTGGTGGAGAAAGTAACCTGAAGAGTCATAGTCGCACTAATAGTGGTATTAGTTCAGCAAGTGGTGGAAGTACAGAGCCCACAACTCCTGATAGTGAAAGACCTGCTCAAGCTCTCCTAAGGGATTATGGTAAGCCATGTTAAAAAATAAAATAAAAAGTTTACAGGATTACTTTTATTCTTAGATTTATAAAACAAAATTTTAATGTTCAAAACTTTAAAACAAAATTAAAACCCAAAATTTTATGTACTTCAGTATAATAGGATGTTTGTATAAAAAACTAAGAAAAAAACACAAATACTTAAGTTTTAGCTGCATAGCTTTTAGTATTTACCTTTGGGGTAGTTTATTAGATTTTATAGGTGATTGTAATGAGTGGCCAGGTGAAATTCCTGGATTCTTTACCAGGTTTTGGAGATATGGGTCAGATAGGATATGGGCCGTGGTCAGAGCAAGCACCACTGGAAGTGGCATCCAGTGAATCAGTGATTACAGCTTGGGAAAAGATGAGGCAATATGCAGTTGACAGGAGCTAGAGGGATATGTTCCATGAAAATTTATATATCTAGCCTACTATATATATCATTAGATTTTTCAGTCACAAATTTTAAGCAAGAGTAAGGAAACATTTTTATTTTCTGCCTTGCCAAATAAAATACTTCTCAGCAAAGCATTCTATCTATTCAGTAATGTCCTTTACCTTGGGCAGCTATTTTATGGATTCAGTCAATTTGAAGTAACTTTCTATTTTTGTATACAAATATTAAATAGTACATTGAACCTGAACATTTGTCTAACTAGATTAGTTCTTTAATTGTGAGTTTTTTAGTCATTTGAGACTAAATGAGTAATATTCATGAATTTCTGAGGCATGTTTTTATGGCTTAAGTTTGCGGTGAATATTCTTGAGGATGTCAACTAGATAAAGTAATTATAGAGGTTTTTTTTTTTTTTTTTTTTGGCCTGCTCAGCCCGCCCTAAGGATGGGGCTGGTGCAGCATGTGGTGTCAGGGATCAAACTGCAGTCCCCTGAGCCAGCCTAAACTTGCCTAAGCAGGTGCTTTAGACCACTGAGCTATCTTGCTGCCCCCATATAGATATTTAACATATATAAAAGATGGTATTTATACAGTGGCTACTTAAATTGTTATCTTACTCATTGTGTATGTAGACTTTGACATATTGTAGATTGAAATTTTTTCATTCTTTCTATACTTTTAAAGATGTTTGCATTACTGCATGTGTTCTAATAAATGTTTGAAGTGATTATTGTTTGTTTCAGCATTTTGAACTGGTGTTAGTGAGCTCTGCTTGTAATGTTGTAAAATATTTTTTACTAAGAAATCCAGATTTGTGTTAGTGTTGCATGAATGTCTCTCTTTAATGATCATTCCTTTTTCTGTTGTCACTGCCCTCTTTCTGATAGGATCCACAGGTATAATGTCCCTAAAGCTTCCTTTATAAACTCAATTTAATTTGTCCTAATCTCTTCTATTGTACTGTTAGCTAAGTAATAATGATTCAAATATAAAATTGGAAGCCAAATAAAAGCTGGCTTGTTTATTTAGTATTTTTAGAACTGTTAAAACATGTTAGAGAGTTACATGTTAAAGTGGGTTTGAAGAGGCATTGCATGTGATTTTTGATGGTTTAGACTCTACAAGCAATTTCAACAGATGCTGTAGTGTAATTTCCAGCATCTGAGAAGGCTGTGAAAATTGTTTTTATTTTTTCTTTTATAAAATCCCATGAAAATACTTGGTATCCTTTTTTTCATCATTCTTTTAATAAATGTAACTCTCTATGAATTATTAATTTAGAAATTGTCAGATGTACAGCATTACAAGAATGATATTGAAACTACCAAGTCCTGTGGTTGTCTATGTGAGAATATGTGGGCTGGGAGCTAGAAGCTGCTCTGGCCCTGAGTGGGCGCCTTATGCTCTGTCAGTCAGGCCTGGCTGGGGCTCAGGCTAGTGGGCGGGGAGCATAGCACTGTGTGGGTGCCCATTGTGCTCACTGTGGCTGCTGTGGTCTATGCCTGGTGGAATGCTGTGCTTCCTGTTACTAATGCTTAGTTGTTTTCCCTCCCTGTGGGATGTGGCATTGGGGTTATATCCTAGCTCTTAATACAGATTCAGCTGCTGGGCTCCTGATTCGCAGCATTCATCTTGTCACTCAAAGACTCAACTCCCAGTGGCGGCAAGACATGAGCATATCACTGGCAGCCCTAGAGCTCCTGTCTGGCCTGGCAAAGGTGAGGAGGACAATCCTTTTATTTTAACCCAACAGGCTTGCACTATGGCTGTTTACTCTGTGTCTGTTGGCCCCTTGGTGTAGGAATTATAGTGTTGGCCATACTCAGTATGTACCAAATTGTATGAAATTTGAGTCTCCAAGTGAAATTTTACAAAATGAATTGTACTTCTGTGAAATAGATTTACTTGACTGTGGTGGCCCATTTCTGTAATCTCAGCACTTGGAAAGTGGAGGCAGGTGGATAATGTGTTGGAGGCCACTCTGGAGTGTGTTGTGAGTTCAGGGTCAGGCTGGATTACATAGAGATTCTGTTTCAAAAATTCCAAAAAGTTTTTAAAATTAAAATAAGTTCAAAGAGTATGAGTATTTTTGCTGTAAAATTATAAGAAACAATACTTGCTATTTATTTGCATGTAATAGGATAAATGTTGATTTTATATAGAATGGTTGTTCTCAAGTATGCTAGTTGGGATTACATCTGACTACTGCCTTCCATTATCAGAGGTAAGTGAAAATGGACCATTCAGATTTATTTCACAGCTATTATTTCAGTTTTGTGAAACCTTAGAGCTAGGTGGCTGTTCACACTTTTTTTGAATTTCTTCCCATTATTCCTCCTGTCAAGGTGAAATGCATATAATGCAAAATTCACCATTTTTATATTATCGTTGGTTTGTTCATTCATTCCTTCTGTTAGTTTTTTTTTTTCCATAATGTTATTGATAAACAAATAACAATGAGACAGTTTCAAATCAAATTGGTAGGAGAGTTTCAATAATTAACAACTGCATACATTCTTCTTAGTGGTTAATTGCTGTACAAGATGTGGACTTGA